TCTTTAACATTCCTCAGCAGCCTTGGCTCATTTCAACCTTTAGTGATCCTAACACTGTTCTTACAGGACCTTGCCATCCTTAGTTACTTGTCCTTGATTCCATTTTCTGTATGTATCCTCTGAAAATCTAAATTGGTCAGTGAGTTCCTTGTGTATTCACATTGATCTCTTTCAACAACCCTTCTTCTTCCTCACTGAAGTGGTTTTTATCTTTAGAATTTCATCCTTGTGGGTATGGTGGTCTTTGTTGCTGGGGAGGCCGAGGCTGATGGATCCCTTGGGAGTTCTAAGCTAAAGTAGGACTAAAGCCAATCAGGTGTCTACACTAAGTTTAGCACCAATATGGTGAGCCTTTTGGGGTGGAGGGCCACTAGGCTCCCGAAGGAGGGCTGAAACAGTTCAGATTGGAAAAATGGAGCAAGTTAAAACATCCTTGTTGATCAGCATTGGGATGAGGCCCATGAGTAGCTGCTGTAGTTTCAGCTTGAGTAAGATATAGAAATCCATTCTCTCCCTTCCCTCCTACCCTTCTCTCCCACAAAAAACCCCCAAAATAATTTCTGAGAACTGAGCTCTCCTGGAGTAGCTTTCTCTGTGGAATTTTGGGCCATAGGATCTTACTTATCTTGTCTCTAGTTCCTTGACGTCTGTTCTCCAAAAGCACAGGATGTTTGTCAGACTGTGTCCCACTTTTTTTTCCTTTAACAAATATCTAAAGTGAGGTAATCATTTCCCCTCAAAGGTTCTTACAATTTCTACTTCAGCAGAGTTCTTTGTTGGTAAGACTGTCAGGTGCTAAACAGCAATTCCCTTGTTACTTGTTTTACCTTTGGAAGGATAACATAGGTTAGGTGTGGTAGCTAGTTTAGGTCTGGGGGGCTTAATCTCTCCCTTTCCAGTCTGTCCTTTACATAGCTGCCAAAGGGATGTTCCTCAGGTTCATGTATTCTCATGTCATTCTCATGCCCAGGAAGTTCCAGGGCTTTCAGTTGCCTCCAGGAAAAATACCAACTTGTCATTTGTTTGGCATTTGCAACCTGGCCCCAACCCGTTTTTCCAGCCTTGTTGTGTATTTCTTTCTTTTACCCGCTGTATAATATAATCAAACAAGCCTGCTTGCTGTTCCCCATACTGGAAAATCCATCTCCTATTTCCACACCTTTGCACAGGCTGTCCCCCATGCCAGAAATGTACTCCTTCTTCAGCTCTGATTTCTAGAATCCTTGAATATTTTAAAGCTCAGCTTGTATCACTTGTGTCAGCTTGTGGGATACCTACCTTGATTTTCCCAGTGATACTTTTCTCTCCCCAAGAAGTTAGTTTACATTTGCTTTGTGTGTCCATTTGTTTTTATTTACCTTTGTTCATATTATTTCCCCATTGGAGTTTTTCCATACTGTTTTTCCCCAATGCTCCTTCAGAGTAGGGATTGTATTCTCTTTGCCTACCACAACAGTAGGTACTTAATAAATGCTTGTGGAATGAATGTATTTCTGTTTGATCTGAGAGGTAGTAGGAGGTTATTTTGGGTCCTTGAGCAGGGAAGGGATGTTGAGGTAAAAATAAGCACTTAATGGCTGTGTGGTCTTTGTCAAGGATCTGAATCTGTTTTCCACATCTGTGCAGTGTGATGATACTTGTCTGCTTCATTGGGTTTTTGAGATAATTTATATGAATTGGGGAAAGCTCTATATAAATGTGTTATTTTTAACATAAGAAAATAGACATACTATGACTACTACCTCCACTATTCCACTACTGCTGCTGTGATTACCTCTTCTTGTTGAAATGGTTCCAAATCCTGGGGAGGAGGGCATGTTGGCACATTTGAATGAGATGCTTCTGGATAGGGCTGTACACCCCTTAAAAATGACAAACTGATGCTGTCAGACTCCAACACTTTGAGCCTTGTGTTGTTTGTGTTTCTTCTTTTTAAGCTGCGTGTTTCTGCCTTGTTTGTCAGTCACCACCCACAAACAGGGTGACAGAGAGGCTTGGGTAAAAATTCAGAATAAAGTATTTCAGTCTTTCCAAGTTTTTCCTCTTCATGATAGCACTGATAAATAGTAGGGAAACTTTACAAAAATGTGTTTGACACTTAGATTTGAAAAAGGTTTCTTTGTTTAGCTGTAGCGATTCAATAATTATAGGCTATTTGTGTGACAATGTTGCAGGCACATATTATAAAACAACATGTTTTACATATTACAGTACAGCCCAGTTCTCAAAAATGTGTTGCTAGGTTCAGTCATTTCTTACAGATCAGTAATCATGAAGATTTAGAATACTGATGATATGATGGCACTCACAGTATGCAAAATAGAATGAAATATCCCTTTCTGATACACTTCTTTTCAACTATATAGATAGGCTTATTTTTGGGGAGGCAGGGTTGCTGGTTGCTGCTCCAAGTCTGAGGATGGGTGAGGTACTTCATGTGTCTGAAATGACAAACTATAAAAACTGGTACTTGAAGAATAGTCTAAGGATACCACAGTTGCCACACTGATATTGACTCTTTAACCCATTCTATTAAGGCAAAAATAGGAATATCTTAATTTCAGCACAGCATCTTTGGAAGGGTTCTTGTAGTCTCTTGGAATGCTGAAATTCCTTTTGGTATCTTTTGCTGGAATTTTTCTTAGTCCCAAGCATATTTTACTGTTGCTTCCTAGGTAATAGAGATGTGTGTTCTGTAATTGGAATTTTTTTTTTTTGGTGAGGCAGTCAGGGTTAAGTGACTTGCCCAGGGTCACACAGCTAGTCAATGTCAAGTGTTTGAGGTCAGATTTGAGCTTAGGTCCTTCTGACTTCAGAGCCAATGCTCTATCCACTTCACTGCCTAGCTGCCCCTTGTAATTGGAATTTAAAAAAATCATTTAGCTCAAGTAATGTTTATCAAGATTTATGTTTGAGGTGCCTAGGATGATTATGTTTTTAGAAAAGTAAATAAAACTTGTTCATATTTTTTGTTATATCACATTTGTTTTTGAATATATTCTTCTCTTTCTCCCCTACGAAGCAAACCATAGGGTCATCAGTTTTTAAAAGCACCCCAAAACAAAGCAGTGTATTGTAGTACGGAAGGACATATGGGGGGAACTGGGATATGAGTTCCTTTATGACCTTAGAGTAAGTTATTTCTTTGTCTTCATTTTCCCATCGGTTGAGTGGGGATACTACTACTACTGTGCATAAGTAGTAATTTTAGAGTAATTATATAACACTTTTACTCTCATGTACATTATTCTATATACATTAAAGAAAGGTAGTTTTTAAAATTAGGGTATTTGATAGCTCTCCAATCAGTGTTCCAGTAATCTATATCACATTAACCAATTAATCAACAAGCATTTATTAAGCACTTAATATATTCCATGTACTGTTCTAGGAGCCAGATAACAGAAAAAAATGAAATAATTCCTTTCCCCTAGTAACTTACATTATATCCCTTTTGAGTCATGGGGAAGGTACTATGGTCAATCCTCAACTTTCATGGGGATAATGTTCCTAGAAAATAGCGCAAAAGTAAAAAATGTGAGTGTTGATATATTGAACTTATGGGAAATAGAGGGTTGGGTTCCTGCAACCACCAAAACCTGCAGTCTTTTGCTAGTTGCTGAAAATATACTTTTCTGCATACAGTTCTTTGTAACAGAACATTAATTCAGATATGTACTTTTCCTAACACAGTAACTATGAAATAACTCATAAAATGCAGTACACAAAATAAAAATGGTAACATGCAAAACATTTTCCCTCACTATTAGTTCCCTGGAATTCTGTGACTTTTTGTGCTAACATCTCAATGAAGAAAAATTGATTTCAGACAATATTCGCTTTTCATACTCATGAAATCTATAGTATCATAATACTGGGCTGCAAATAAAATTCTTAAAACTAAAATATTTTTTAGCCCAAGTCTAACCTTCTGCTATGTCAGACGGCAGTGTGAGGTCATTGTATTATATACTGTCCTGCTTGGCTGCCCTCTGAAAACCAAGGGAGAGGTTGCTGGGACTTTACTCACAGCTGTCAGAAGATGTTGAGACTGGTGAAGTCTCGACATTACCTTAGAGTCCAAAGGACATGCACTGTACTTGGGAACATAATTACAACACAAAACATGAGTTTTTAAGTGAAGCAATGAAAATATGCAATGAATGCACAGGGAGCTTCTTACAATGGTAGGGTGAACAAGACCGGAGAAGCACCTGGTGGATACCAGCTGCTCCACAAACTTGCACACATCGTATCTCTCGTTTTTTTCTCTACTGCACCTAACCATAAATGTGTGCAGTTGCCAACGTGAGAGGGTTAAATGCACAGATGTTGAGGATACATATGGATGCTAAAGTTTGTCATGCAGTATTTATTGCCCACATAGGCACCACAGGTACAGGAATCAAGGCTGTCTCACTAACAAAACTTGGCACAACCCCATGGATTTTTATTTCAGTTAACTCTGCCCCTCTCACTACCCATTCTCTGCCCAAAATTCTCTGCAGTAACTCTAACCCATAATAGTTATTTGTAATTTCCTTTTCCATTGTATCAGTCCATAATAGTCTACTTTTGGTCTGTGGGGTAGCTGTCACAGGGGCTGAACAAATCTGGACAAGTGCAGTAGACCAGGGTCCCTTAAGGATTCAGGCTTGGTGATCTTGATCAAATTGGCTGGCTTTGATTCTGAATATACTGCCTGGAGTATAGCTGCTCAGAGCCAGGCCTGCATTACAGATCTGTGTCTTAAGGAGCCATCTTTATATGTCTTTCAAGTATTCCAGTTCCTCTAGGAACTCTAAACATATTATAAAATTAGTTGTATCCAAAAAAACTCCCATAACTTAACACTGATTTCATTTATTATGATGCAAGTGTTCAGATGATCTGTCCTTAATTTTGGTGCTTCATGTTAGATGGGGAAGGATGTGTAGTGGTGAGATGTTTAATTCCTTCTTTCTTTTCTGTTGCCATTTTGAATTTATTTTATTTTGTAGAAAGTCTGGAGTAACTGATCACTATGCTTTGGATGACACTCATGCACTTCACTTGGCAAGGAAAGCTGTGAGGAGTCTAAACTATAGTAAGAAATTAGAAGTGAGTATATGATTTTTTTCTTAGAAATCAGTTTTATTGATGCCTTTTGTTTGTGCAGTAGTCATTTCTAGATATTACCCTCTCTCCCATTCACCCCTAAACAAACACTGTGAGCTTTCCCTTGTAACAAAAGGTAGGAAACCCACCTCACACAGTGGCTATATCTGAAAGTGTATGTAACATTTTGCTGTTGTAGTCCCCTTCTCTACTGAAAGGAGATTTGGGCCAAGGTTAATTATTACATTTATTCAAAGCTTGTTTTCTTTTGTTATTCCTTTCATTTGCACTGATATAGTATGTTATTATTAGGTAGTACTCCCGTAAGCTGTCTGACTACAGACTGGCATTTCAGCTAGAAAATATTTTATTGTCTTCTTTAGGTTGTCAGATTGATGACAGCATAAAGTAGCATCTGTGTTTTCTTTAGGTTCTTTCAGATACAGTTCAGGTGACACTTTTTATAGGAAACCTCTCCTCATCCCCCCAAGTATTAGCATCCTCTCTTCCTTGAAATAATTTCTGTGTTTCATTACTTGTGTACATATTGTATTCTCCCAGTAGAATATAAATTTCTTGAAGACAGGGATGGTTTTTATTTTTATCTTTGTATCTCCAGAACCTAGGATAGTTTCTTGTACTGTTGATATGGTGCGCTGCGGTGTGGTGCGGTGCGGTGCGGTGTGGTGTGGTGGCTGTGTTATGTTAGTGCCTAATAAGTGTTTGTTGAATTTAATTAAATTGAACTTTGGTTAATATAATTCCACTAAATTATTATAGGTGACGATAGAACCTTCTGAAGAGCCTTTGTTTCCTCTAGATGAGGTATATGGAGTAGTTGGAGATAACCTCAAGAGGAACTTTGATGTCCGAGAGGTATGACTTTTTGGTTTTGGTCATCTGAGTTTGCCCAGGCTAGAAGTGCAGCAGTCACTCACAGGCCCACTCTCACAATTGATGGTATGGAATGATATTCTCCATTTATAACCTGGGCCCTGATTCTCCTCTTCTTAGCAGCCAGGTGTCCATCGCCTCCCTTTTCCTTCCCAAGAGCTCATTCTCTTGGAGCCAGACATAGTGCGGACACCCAGTAGGTTTGAGCCCTACTGCATCTCAGGGCTCTTGGACTCATGTTCCCCTAGCCTCAGCCTTGACCCACACATAGCAGGGATCACAGGCGCCAGCATGGCTGGCCTAGATATGACTTTAAATTGAAGCAGAACTATAATATATAACCTGTCTAAATGAATAAAAAAGTAAATTCTTGTAAGGGAAACAAAAGTATTTTAAAGTATAATTATACACCTAAAGACAGGGAAGAATTAAAATGTATTTAAACTTTTTGGCAATTGCTTGGCAGGTGTGTCAGGAAGGAACTGCAGGTAAGGGCACAGTTTTATAATTCATGTATCATAGTTAGATTTTAAATGTCCACAGAAACAAAATAAATCATAGTCATTGTTATATCTGTGCTTGGTTGGGGACAGGAATAGCTTAATTTGTTCCTAAGGAAGCTTTATGTTTTTGGTAGACATCAGAGGTGGCCTAAGAGCAACTTTACAGTTTTCAAAGGTGTTTTTTCCCCACTCATTGCTGTTTTGGTAAATAGTTTAAATGTCAATGTGCCATTAGAAGAGGTTATATTTTAAACTGCATTGTATTTCGGATGTTGCCAAAGCTACAGGTCAGTATCTAAATCTTCTGTAATGTAGATTGGTGACTTTTCCAACTTGTGCATATAGCATGCAATACTTAATATCTTCCTTCATTTTTATAACTAGTATAATTTCTTCTATAATAACATTATTCCAAAGACTCCAGATAAATTTGCCTTAAAAATAAATAGAAATAGGATTTTCTGTAACTTTGTCCTAGGGATGTTTACAGACTTTAAATGAGATCCATGGATGTGAACCAAGGGTGATCACAATTTAAAGGGTGCTGATAGCACTTATATCCCATAGCTTAGAAACGGCTGACTTTAGATTCTAGTTTAACCAAAAAAAGTATATTAGTTAAAATAGGAACCTGTGGTTTCTTTTCCTTGACTGAGGAACCCCAGGAAAGCTCTTCCTTGACCCTCTCCTCCTTGTATATCCCTTCTCACCACTGCTGCTTGGGACCACTGTCTTATGGTTTCTGGCTTGCTCCTGCAGAACCTTGTGTTCCAAGGTGTCTCCACCTTTCTACTCAGTTTGTCTTAAAAAGTTAATTTGAGGGAGCATTTTGTCTTCTTACCCCTTGTTTGGAGTGCTTTGCCCTGTGCCCCTGAATGGCTACTTACCATTCTAATTAAACCCTGGATTTCCCACTCCTGTGTCTGCTCACACTGTTCTCCATGGCTGGAATGCCCTCCCTGTGCCCAATTTCTATCTAGCATAATCCTATCCATGCATCATGGTCTCACCCAAAGTGCCACCTCCTAATTACTGTCCACCAAAAGTAATCTTTCTCTCCTGTCTCACATTGTTTGTGAACTCACATTCAATTCTGCACCATAGTTCTTTGTGTACAGTCGCTAGGTGGTTGGAGAGCATTCCAGCTACAGAGAAAAGTGTGAGCGAGGGTGTGGGAGTAGGAAAAGTTCTGGGTGATATGTAACCCTCTTTTCCCAGAGTGCAGGTTATTTGATAGGGTTGGAATGTGAATTAGGGCTGGAAACGTTAGTTGAGCATAGTGCATCTGGGAGCTGAGGTTGCCTAAAGAGCTCCAGATAAATGTTTGAGCCCTGACTTTCTCTAACGTATAGTTACAAACAGAGGAGTCCTGACTTATGCTTTGTAGGCATGATTCTTATTTATGACAAAAGAAAACAAGAGTGGTTGGAGCACCCTGAATGTGCAAGGTGAAGCTCCGGTGATTGAGTACCTCTGTAGAGGATGCAGTGAATCTGGGAAAGTGACAACTTCATTGTGAATCTTTTTTTCCTTCTCACTTAAAAATAACCTGAACACAATTTAAACAAAAAATTTCTCTGTCACCTCCTTCTTCTAGGTCATTGCTAGGATTGTGGATGGAAGCAGATTTGATGAATTTAAAGCCCTCTATGGAGACACCTTAGTCACAGGTATTGATAAGGGTTAAATGTATAGAAATTTCTCTGTTTTGGAGATGAGAAGTAAAACTAAACCTTTAGATTTTCTTCAAGTATCTGGATTATGAAGTAGACTCCAAGTCACTCTGATAGCATCCTGAGCGTTTTTTTCACTGTATTAAAATGCTGGAATCCATAGAGTCAATGGATGCAGGAACCATATGTGGTTAGATGACTTTCTAGGACAAGAGTAAGGAAGGAGAGGAAGAAAGAATCTGTGGCTGCCTGCCCGTCATCAGCATGTGGAATTCATAACTCTTTAGCTAGTTCTTAGGGGTGCTATGTATGGTAGATAGATTGTGTGCCCTGGGCAGTGGGCACAGTCTGAAAAGCAAGTAAGGTGTTTCTGAAAGTTGTTTTCGAAGAGTGAAATATTAAATCTGGTTTCTAATGTAGAAACATGTCTAAATTGAATGCTAGATTCAAAATGACAGAAAACAAAACCTTGAATATAATGTATAAAGCTTGAACCTGAAATAACTAATGAGAAAATTGCATTTCTCTTTAGAAACTAGGTTAATATCGAGCACAAATCTAGATAAAGAAATAATGAGGCTTACATTTCAGGTTAAATGTTAATTCTTACCTGCTTTAAGGTGGAGAAGGGAATTCACTCTGAAAATGGGATTTGAACTTTTGTACTTAAATGACTAGTCTCTATTAATATTTGGACAAATAAGTTTTACCAGTGCATTGGCTCAAACTAATTTTTAAACAGTATATGCCCTGATTGCTAAGCAGCCAAAATAACATTCAGAGCTCTTTCTTTTTTATTGTAGGTCATAAGCAATTGGACATGTTTTTCTCAATTTTTGTGAGTTGGAACAAGTTCAAAAGAGATTTCTACAGTACTCTTTGGACGATTTATTCTTTTTCCCTGTTTCCTTGCTTTCTTTGGTGAATTTGTCCTGTTGATTAGAGTAGAATAGATAGCAAGCAGAGTGTTAGTTATAGCTTAGGCCTAGGTATTGGGAATAAAACATCGAGGATAGCTAGTATTTATATTATACTTTAAGGTTTGCAAGGTGCTTTATGAATATTATCTCATTTTATCCCCACAACAATCCTGTGAGTTAGATATTATGTATTCACATTTTACAGAAGAGGAAACTAAGGCAAGTAGAGGTTAAGTAACTTGCCCAGGGTGTCATAGCTAATAAGTGTCTGAGGTCAGATTTGAACTCAGGTTTTTCTGACTCCAGATCCAGCTTTCTATCTACTGTGCTACCGAGGTAAATGTAAGTAACTATCATACTGGTCTTTTGTTTTTTTATCAAAGTGAAGTTAATGTCTATTAAAAAAAAAAACAGCTCACTTCAATAATGTTAAATCATTAGCAACCACCCCTCCCAAAACCAAACAAAACCAAACAAAACCAAACAAAAACAAAAAGTCTAAGTGTGTGGTATCCTGTTTTGCCTATTTATTTCATAATCAGTTAAATTTGATACTCAGTGTTACTTACAGTCTTCCCATCTGGGTTTTATACAGTAGAAGTTCTAGATTAATATTGACATTTTTTATTCATGGTTCTGAAAGCTGTAGTACTTGCAGGGCATTTGGGTCATTTGCCTTTTTAGGTTTTCAAAACAGCCTTTTTTTTTCCGCTAGAATAATGTCAGGCATCTTGCTCTGGTGTGTGTGTGTGTGTGTGTGCTTTGTTTGTTTTTTAGTTCAGTTTTAGTTAGGGTTTTTTTTTTTTTGCCTGTAGCAATTCTTTGTGGCAACCTTCAGGCAAGATTTTCGCTGCAGTGAATCTTTTCTCAACTAACTTACTTTGCTTAGGGTAAATTTGTTTCTTACCTGGCTTGACTTTCCACCAGCTTTTTCAAAATAGTATCTGTAAGCAGGCCATTTGGATAGGAAAAAAACCATGATGATATAATTGATTAAGCTGCTTTTAAGGCAGGTACTTAAATGAAGAGGGTGACTGTAGGTTGGCTTATAAAGAGCCAGGCTTATTTTAGTACCAAACCAACATGGGTTTGGCTAAATCACCTATTTAAGAATTGTCACATATAAGTAAAGCAAATGGATTTTTTCCCCTAGGTAACATGAGTATTAAAAAAACAAAGCTAAAACTGAGAAAAAATTTTAAAATTTGAGTAATAAAAATGTGACATTGACTTTTGCTGGGCATTAGACCTGTGGTTTCATTGGTACAGGGAGTTTCTGGTGAGGAAAGTGTAAGGGCCGCAGATTTTCACCTTCTCTACAATTTCTAGTTTTAGAGAATTACCTGAGACAGTTGCACTGAGAGGTTAAGTGGTAAGCCCAGGGTTAATGGCAAGTATGTGGCAGACATGAGACTTAAACCTGGTGTTCCTGACTTGGAGGCTTGATCTCTATCTACTATGCCTTGGACACTTATGAGCTGTGTGACCCTGGGCAAGTCACTTAACCTCTGCTTTAATCCACCGAAGAAGGAAATGACAAACCACTCCAGTAACCTTGCCAAGAAAATCCCATGCTCCAGGGGTCACAAAGAGTTGGACACAACTGACTGACTGAACCACAGCAGCTGTTTCATACTACTTCTCTCTTTCACATTAACTGTACCATTGAGCAGATGTTGTCTGTTTGTTATCAGAAATAAATATCACTTAATGTTTTTTTAAGGGTTTGCTAGAATATTTGGCTACCCAGTGGGAATTATTGGAAACAACGGTGTTCTTTTCTCAGAATCTGCAAAGAAGGTAAGTAATATGTAAAAGATTATCAAGATTTTCTTTCAATTTTAATTTAGTATTGCTAACTTTGGTTTCTTTTTTTAGTTGCTTTTTTTATGCTAAACTTAACACACACTAAATAAAATGAACACCTCTTTATACACATAGAAAAAAGATTATATGTAAAACTGAAAATATTTTATATACGTTTGCTTTTTTAAAGTATTTAATAAATTCCACGGATAACTTTCAAAGCTGTTCTGTTTGTCTTTATCACTTATTTTGAAAGTCAAATGTGGAAGTAAAACAGACTGAAAGAAAAGACTTTAAAACATTCACTTTCTCATCTGGTTTGGTATCTATTACATCCATGAAAGAACTCAGCAGGTGCATTGGCAAGCAGGGTTATTTGGTTGTGTGTATATATTTTAGGGTCACTTTTTAACATGGTTGACACTAAATATGACACCAAATGAAGTAGTCAAACCTGCCTGGAACGCTGTCTGAAAGAAAATAAATTGGTACACCTGCTAGAGAGCATAAGTGCTATTGAAGATGGATGCATTTTCTTTGAATGATGTTTTTTTCAATTACATGTAAAATAATTTTTAACATTTTTTTTTTAATTTTGAGTTCTAAGTTCTCTCCTCTGTCCTCTTCCCCCTCCCTGAGAGGGCAAGCAATTTGATATAGGTTATATATATGTAATCTGTCATTGTTGTTGTTTAGCTGTGTCCAACTCTCTTTATCACCCCATTTGGGGTTTTCTTGACAAAGATGCTGGTGGAGTGGTTTGCCATTTCTTTCTCCAGCTCATTTTACAGATGAGGAAACTGAGGCAAGCAGGGTTAAGTGACTTGCCCAGGATCACACAGCTAGTAAAGGTCTGAGGCTGCATTTGAACTCAGGCCTTCTTGACTCCAGGCCCAGCACTCTTATCTGCTGCACCACCTCATTGCTCCATATGCATTTTCAGCTAGCACATAGACAACTTGTCTTGCATCACAGTCTCACTCTCTGGTGCTAAGTGCAGATCAGCTCATATCCAAAACCGTGCTGCTGATACAGATTTCTATGCTTAATTATTTTTCTGACCTTCTGTGAATTTATGGACTAGAATCCAGTTTTATATTTTGGGGAAGTGGGGAAACAATGGGGTTGGTATTGAAGCTGTGATTTGAAAAAGTGGTAGATGATGTAGTATAGTGAAAAGAGTACTAGGTTTGAAGCCAGGACCTGGGTTCATATTTTGCTGCTGACACCTACCACTGTGTGAAGTTGGGCAAATTGCTAAACCTCTTTGGGCCTCACTCCGTTTTCTCCTCTGTAAAATGAGTGAGTTAGATTTGGTGACTTCTGAGGTCTCTCTCAGCGCTGGATATATGATGATTTTTAAAAGAAAACTAGCCTAGTATGTGAGTCATCTCTATCTCTTCTAACCTTGGACCTGACTTCCGACTTCATTGTCTCTTTCTTGCCTGAATATGTACAAAAAGAATCCACATATCACCAATTTTTTATATTTTTTTTTCCTCATCCACAAATGGATGAGCAAGCAGTACAAAGTGAGGATGTTGATTAACTGATATAAATAACTGTAATAGGTAACCTATGGTTGTAGTAAAGCTTGAGGAGTCCTACCCTCCATTAGCTGGCTACTAAGTAGCAAGTGCCAGAGTGACATAACAGTAAGTAATCATCCACAGAACAAAGCAAGGAAATCAGGAAAGTAAACAGATTGGAGAAGGCTTTGGGGGATGAATTTGGAAAGCAATCAGGGTTTGCTTAGAAGACAGTTTCCAAGGTGCCATCTTTTATGTTTGGCAGTACTGCCTGTGTCCTCTCTAATACCTCCAATGTCATAGAGTTACATTTTGCTCCTGTGGGGGTTAGGAAGACAAATAAAACAGTCCTTTCAAAAGCTTAGAATCAAAGAAGAATGATAGGACAGGCACATAGGTAACTATAATAATGATAGGTTGCATTTCTATAAGGCATTTTTCTCACAACAACAATCCTGTAAGTTCAGTGATAGAACTAGTATCATGTCCATTTTACAGATGAAGAAACAAAGGCCCCCAAATTAAGAGGCATGTTCAACAGCTGTAGCTAATGTCAGAGACAGGACTCAAACCTAGGTTTTCTGATTCCTAAGTCTTCTTATAATCTAAGGTATAATATGTTTGTTAAGTACATAAGAGAGGTTTAAACAAGGTGTATGAGTTTAGAAGGGAGAAAGATCACTTTTGGTTACTTGAGTCAGGGAGAGTACTATGGAAGAGCTGGCATTTGAGTTAGGCCTTGAATGATATGTTGGATTTCAACTGGTAAAATTGGGGGAAGAAAACATTTCATGAAGTTTGGGAGGTTTGAGATGTGTTTATAGATCATTGAGTAGTCCAAGTTGGCTAGAATGGATAGGGCATCAAAGAGAATAACATGAGATGAGGCTAGAAAGGTAGAGTGTGAGGCTTTGAATGCTAGGCTAAAGCTTTTGGATTTTATTTAGTAGGTAGCTTAAAAGTATTAGAAGCTTTTGAGCAGAGGAGTTACGTGATGTATACTAAGAAGATCATTCAAGACTCGGATTAATGCCATGAGCCACCATGATTTCCAAGGACTGATGATAAAGCATACCTCCCATCTCTCAGTAGCAATGTGGTGAACCATGGGTGGTGAATCCATGAGGCATGGATTGTCATATATTACTAGTGTGTAATAGGGGTAGGGGAGAAATCATTAGGAAGTGGCACGGATGTTTTTAAAAAAACCTATCAATAAAACACAAGGAAGAAAGGTTAATCTAGCATTGATATGTAGAATGAGTTAGTGGGAAGAAAGATTGGAGGCAGGAAAACCAGTAAGGGGGCCATTGCAAATAGCACGTACCTGAGGTAATGAGGTCCCCAATTAGGTTGGTGACAGTGTGAGTGGAGATGTTGCTGAAGTAGAATCAATGTGACTTGGCAGTTGATTAGATATGGGAAGTGAGGGAGAGGGAGGAATCAGAGATGATTGAGGTTTCAGACCTGTTAACTAGGAGAATATTGGCACCATTCACAGAAATATTGAAGTCAGAAGGAGAAAAAGATTTGGAGGGGAGAGCAGGTATGATTTTGGACATGTTGCTAATTTTTCCATATCATTTTAAAATATGGAGGTACTCTATTAAAGTTATCAAGCTTTGGGTATCATGATTCATAGAAGTTTACTAGGAAGGGCTTTATATATCATTCATTGAGATATGTAATTACTTGTGATGGTAGTCACTGTATATAGAAATGTTCTGTAGACCAGGAAAGTGTTATACAGGTGAAAAAGCTGGTGATAGTTGGTTTTATCCTGGTCAGCAACTTGATTAGTTAGTTATAGGGGTTGGGAAACTTCTATCACCTGTTTTTGTATAGCCCATAGCTAAGAATGGTTTTTACATTTTTAACTAAAGTTTTATTGCATTTAAAAATATAAAAAAAACGTTCTTAGCTTGTGGCCAGCTGCAGTGTGGGCTAGTTATTTTTACACAAAAACGCTCATCTAGCTCTCAACAAAAAGATTTAAAAAAAAAATCTCTCCTCTGTAGCCATGGACTTTATCTCCAGTAGTCCAGATGTCTTGCAGATGTGTAACATATGTCATAAAGGTGGCTCTTAGAGAGCATAGATGACTGAGGTCAGTTTCATTAGCAATATCAGAATAAGAGCACAAAGCATATATCCTACTGCTAATGGAACAGTAGCCGTATTGTTATTGATATGCTGTTAAATTTGATAAGCAAGGTGGAATTATTTTTGTGTTTTTTTTCCTAGGTTGTCCTGTTTTGTTTTGGAGGAAGCATAGTAATGTATTTGCAGTCATGATTTAATTGTAATTAATTATAATCACAATTAAATGTATTATAATTATATTCTAAAAAATCTTTTTTTCCTCTTCTTATAGGCAACTCACTTTATTCAATTATGCTGCCAAAGAAAGATTCCTCTTGTGTTTCTTCAGAATATTACTGGTGAGAAAATATCTTGATTGGTTTTGATGATTTGTTATAGTCTTTATTCAAGGAATAACACTTTCTACCTGAATCTTAACTACTTTAAGGAATCAACCTATGTGGTCTTTCCTGTCCGTTGTGAATGCCTGAATTGCAAATCATTCAACAAGCATTTAGTAAGCTTCTACTGTGTGCCAGAAATTGTGCTAGTCCTTAGACACAAAGATAAAAATAAAGCAGTTCCTGCCCTCAAGGAGCTACATTCTATTGGAGGAGACATTTACATAAATAAATATATACAAAAAAAGTGTATGCATATATATAAAATATGTAATGTATATAATATAAATGTATATATAATTATACTTTTTGCATATACACTTTTAATACATAAATATGTATTACATATATATATACACACATATATAAATTATGTATCTATGTACTTATAGTGTATCTATGTGAATTTGTGCAGTGGGGGGCAGGAAGGAGGGCACAAACAACTGAGGCAATGAGAACAGGTTTCATATACACAATGTGCATGAATAGCCAGTGCCGGTGCCCCTATCTCTCCATTCCCACTGAGGCTGCTTTTCTTACTCCTGCGTTTTCTAAATAGCAAACTAGCTTCCTTGATCTGACAATCCCTGTTGGTGCTTGGTGTGTGTGTGGGGGGTGGTGTGACTCCCAGAGTTCTTGTGAGGATCAAGTGAGATAATACTTGTAAAGTGATTAGCTTAGTGCCTGGCACATACTGGCACTTAATAAATGTTTGTTTCCTTCCTTCTTTGTTTAGGAGTAACTTACAAACTTTATTCCATTTGTGAGCCATAAAATTAACCTAATCATGATTAATAAGCTTAAGTAGTGCTGTGGGGGAGGAAGAATAGATATATGTCAAGGAAAAGGAATGCTGTCAGTTTTTAATTTCATGAGTCATAATTAAAGAACTACCAATATCAACCTTTTGGTAGTTCTTAAAAGTGCCCAGAAGTTCCCTTAAAAATATCTGTGAAAGTCTCCATCTCTTTTGTCATCTTTTTTTTCTGTTCTTTTTAAAAAAAATTTGTTTATTTTGATTTATCAACAACCACTTCCATAAGCTTTTGAGTTCTAAATTTTTCTCCCCTTCCTTCCCCAAGATGGCACACAATCTGACATAGGGTATACATATACATTCTTATTAAACAAATTTTCACATTAGTAATGTTGTAAGTAAGAGTTAGAACCAATAGGAGGAACCACCAGAAAGAGGAAACAAAACACAACAGAAGAAAAAAAATAGTAAATAGTATGCTTCGGATCTGCATTCAAACTCCATAGTTCTTTCTTTGGATGTGGATAGCACTTTCCATCATGAGGCCCTTGGAGATGTCTTAGATCCTTGTATTGCTGACAAGGGTTAAGTCTATCAATATTAGTATCTAACTGATTATGTTATTCCCTTCTTGAGCCAAATCTGAGGAGAGTAAGGTTCAAACAACTTATCTCCCTCCCTTCTTTAATAGGTTTTTGTGCCTTTTCCTGTAATGTAATTTACCCTTGTCTGCCTCCTCCTTTCCTTTTCTCTCAGAACATTTTCTAAGTTAGATCAGAATAATCCACTTACTTGGATCCATTTAACCCATTTGATTAGATTTTTTTTTTATCATTACATCAAAGTCAACTTATATCCACCCCCTTTATGTATACCCCTTTAACATGGTGTAGTAACAATACAGTCCTCAAGGGTTACAAGTGTTACCTTCCCTTGTAGGGATGTAAACAGTTTGCCCTTTTTAATAACATGTTTCTTTCTGTCCCATTTACCTTTTTATGTCTCTCTTGAGTCTTGTATTTGAAGATCAAATTTTCTGTTGAGCTCATGTCTTTTTATCAGGAAGGTTTGAAAGTCCCCTATTTCATTGAATATCCATCTCCTCCCCTGAAAGATCATACTCATTTTCACTGGGTAGTTGATTCTTGGTTGTAATCCAAACTTCTTTGCCTTACGGAATATCATATTCTGTGCCCTACGGTCTTTTAATGTAGAAGCTGCAAGGTCCTGTGTAATCTTGACTATGGTTCCATGATATTTAAATTATTTCTTTCTGGCTGCTTGCAGTATTTTCTCTTTGACCTGTTAATTTTGGAATTTGGCTACTATATTCCTTGATGTTTTCAATTTGGGATCTCTTTCAGAAGGTGATCAGTGGATTCTTTCTATGGCTATTTTACCCTCTGGTTCTAGGACCTCAGGGAAGTTTTCTTTTATGATTTCCTGAAAGATCCTATCCAGGCTCTTGTTTTCATCGTGATTTTCAGGTAGACCAATAATTTTTAAATTGTCTGTCCTGGATCGATTCTCCAGGTCAGTTGTTTTACCGATGAGGTATTTTACATTTTCATTCATTTTTTTCATTTTTTTTGTTTTTGTTTGACTGATTCTTGCTCTCTCATAGAGTCATTAGTTTCCATTTGTTCAATTCTAATTTTTAACAAATTGTTTCCTTCTATTAGATTTTGTACCTCCTTCCCCATTTGACCAATTATATTTTTGAGGGACTTGTTTTCTTCAGTGTACTTTTTTTGCAGTTGGCCAGTTGTATCTTTTAGGGACTTGTTTTCTTCAGTGTACTTTTTTCCAGTTGGCCAATTGTATTTTTTAAGGACTTGTTTTCTACAGTTAATTTTTGTCCTTCCTTTTCCAAGCTAGTGACTCTCTCCTGCATACCTCTCATTTCTTTTCCTATTTTTTCTTCTACCTCTCTTATTTGACTTTAAAAATCCTTCTTGAGCTCTTCTAAGAAGTCTTTTTGGGCTTCAGACCAGTTCATATTCCCTTTTGAGTTTCCAGATGTGGATTTGTTGGCAGTACTGTCCTCTTCAGAATTTCTGCCTTGATTTTCTCTCTTCCCAAATAAGAATCTATAGTACATTTTTTTTTGCTCATGGTGTTTGCTTATTTCCTGGTCTTTAAAGAGATTGAGCTCTCCTGCTGGGGAGCAGAGGGCACTGACCCAAGCTTCTTGTGTTGGGAGCCTAGAGCCTGGTCACTGGCTTTGTGTGCTGGGACCTCCAACGCTGGCAGGTGGAGGTTGTAGGGTTCTGGCAGCTTACCTGGTATTAGGCTGGAATCAGCAACACTGGAACTCTAGGAGTAGGATTGGGTAGTGTGGATCCTGGAGATTTCCTGCTCACCTGGGCCTTTGCTTCCTTTTGTTTTCTTAAGCTGCTTTCAGGTGGATGTTGCAGGATGTTTATCCACCTGGGGCCCCTTGGAGCACTGCTTCCCTTAGTTTTGCTGGGAGAGCCAGTTGCTGTAGAATGCAGAGGCACCTGGTGGTTTTCTAAGCTGGTTTCTACTGGTTCCTCCACCCTCACTGAGGCATTGTGTGTGTGTGTGTGGGGGGGGGCTCCAGGTGTCGTTGTTTGCCTGTTCCACCACCTGGGTTTCAGGATCTCCTCCTGGTATGCTGAGGTGGGGCTTTCCACTAGCTTGCTGGTACTGCTCCCCTTCTCCTAGGGCAAGAGGAGACTTTCCCATTAATCTCTCAAGCCACCTGGGCTACTGGACTGCTGCACCCCAGCTTTCTTCTGATTCAGCTGTTCCAGGGTTTTTCCTGAGGTGATGTTTTCTGGGCTTTCAGAGGTTAATCTCTTTTGTCATCTTCTAATTAAACCTGATTTTCCTCAAGTATCAGTATTCCAGGTAAATTTCATTATTTAATTTGGTTTTATATTTACTGTTTTTGTTATTATACAAAAACATTATTGTAAGATTATAATTTTTCATTACACATATGCTGTGGTTCAGCTACACTTATTATTTTAAAATTTTTTATCTTCATTTAATTTAATTTTTTAATTATTCATTTAAAAATTTTGAGTTCCAAATTCTCGCCCTCTCTTTAGCCCCTTCCTTACCCATTGAATATGATACCCATTATATGTATGGAATCATGCAAAATACATTTCTATATTATCCATGTTGCCTAAAAAGCAAGAAAAATAGAGATAACGGGAAAATATGCTTTAATTTGCACTTAGAGTTCATCAGCTTTCTTTCTGGAGGTGGCTGGCATTTTTCATCATGAGTCCTTTAGAATTGTCTTGAGTCATTGTGTTAATCAGAGTAGCTAATGTTGATTATCATTACAGTATTGCTTTCCTGGGTACAATGTTCTCTTGGTTCTATTCACTTCTTTTTGTATCAGTTCATATAATTCTTTCCAGGTTTTTCTGAAACCATCCCCTTTGTCATGTCTTAAAACACAGTAATATTCCATCACAATTATATACCTCAGTTTGTTCAGCCATTCCCCAATTTTCCCTCTCAAGTTTCCAATTCTTTGCCACCATGAAAAGAACTGCTTATAAATATTTTTGTACATAAGAATCCTTTTTCTTTTTTTATCTCTGTGGGAAACCACATTATTTTTTAATGAGGCTTTTTACCTAGGAACTATATAACCTTATTTTCATTGGAAAAGGGATTCCATGTATTGAATAAGTGACTTAACTTATGAGCTTTTAGAATACAACTTTTTTTGTCCAATGGGAACTGTTTAAATACCATGAAGAAAATCATTATTCTTTCCTGGCCTATTGTCTAGGTATACATCTATTGTATCATAGTGAATAGTACCTGGATGGTCTAGATATTCCTTAAATGCTAATAATAAGAGAATGAGAGTGTCTCTGATATCACCATATCTTTCCTTGAGTTTTATATAGGAATAAAAAGTGACATGCTGTTTTCAGTTTGACTTTGAGTTACTCACTGAAAATGTTGACTTTGTATGTCTCTATAAAACATTCATTTTTATTTCATCAAAGTTTTAAGAGGGCATATTTGAAAGTACAGCCTGTATTTTTAAACTCTACTAGTGAATACTAGAAATCCCAGACTGACTTGGCATTAGTGTTTTTACTCAGATTATATTGTATTGTCATCATCAAGATGAAAACAAGATTGTCCTGACAATTTCTTTTTAAAGAAAGTTACTTTCCCAGGTTGTTTGAATATCACTCTGTATGCCATATGAATGAACTGCTTTAAATTTATTACAAAAGAAATTTGAGAGAAATCTATTTCACTCTTCCAAGAAGACCATAATTTTTTTAAAATTTAATTTAATTTAATTTAATTAAAAATTTTTTTTTATATGCTTTTGAGTTGAAAATTTTTTTCTCCCTTTTTCTCCCCCCCCAAGATGGCACACAATCTGACATAGGCTTTACATTTACATACCCATTAAACATATTTTCACATTAGTGAAGTTGTAAGTAAAAATTAAAACCAATAGGAGGAACCATCAGAAAGATGAAACAAAATTCAACTTAAGGTAAAATTAAGTGAGAGCGATTCGACTTCCATAGTTCTTTCTTTGGATGTGGACAGCATTTTCCATCCCGAGGCCTCTGGAGATGTCTTAGATCCTCGTAATGCTGAGAAGGGTTCAGTTTAACATTCTTAGTCATTGCATAACGTGGCTGCTATTGTATACAAAGTCCTCTTGGTTCTGCTCAACTCACTTCACTCAGCATCAGACCATATAGGTAGAAGACCATAATTTTTGAATATGAAGTTCAGTAATGTTATGTTGGCATGAAATAACATAATAGTATCCCATTTGGTGTTGGAAACTAGAAAATTTAGCTCTTTTAACAAGTCTTTAATAAATGAGGACAGACATTCATAGTCTCATTAAATGATTCTTGTACACTTGGCCATCAGGCCTCTTGCTCTTATGATTACTCTCTTTTTTGAAACTGTACATTTAATGTTCTTCTTCAAGTATGGTGCCCAGCACAAACAACAGTGCTCCAAGTATCTTCTCTTCAAGGTAACATTCAGCAAGGCTCTTTCTTCCTTTGTTCCAGGCATGGTGCTTCTGTTAGGCAAATCCAAAGAAGCATTTGCTTTTATGGTTGACATATTACGTCATTGAGCTTATAGTCCACTAGAACTCTTGGCTCTTTTATGCTTCTGGAGTTGATTTTCTTTAACCCAATTTAAGACTTTACATTTGTCTCTATTAAATTAAATCATATTAGATTAATCTTATATTTGTAAACTTTCTAAATCTTTTTGGATCCCTACCCTATTGTCCAGCATATTAGCCATCCCTCACAACTTTGTGTTATCTGCAGATTTGGTAAATGTCTTCATCTCTGACTTAATCCAAGTCAGTACTAAAAATGTTGAAAAACATAGGCTATGTGTGGATCCCCAGAGACAAGGATTAGCCCCCAAGGTTGATACCCATTCCTTTTTCTTTTTTTCGGCATTTGGGGGTTAAGTGACTTGCCCAGGGTCACACAGCTAGTAAGTGTCAAGTGTTTGGTCTGAGACTGGATTTGAACTCAGGTACTCCTGACTTCAGGGCCGGTGCTCTATCCACTGCGCCACCTAGCTGTCCCCGTGATACCCATTCCTTAATCTCTATTCTTTCAACCTAAATCTCCTGTCATCTAGATCTTCTCTCATCTATGAAGATGAGAGTGTCTAGGGTGCTGATTGCTTGAGTGCCAGTAAATTAAGGTGTTGATGTATTTATATTTTTGATGTATTTATATTTGGACAATTTGGCTGCAGGAAACCCTATTTAGGTAATTAGTAACCTCAACTCTACAGGGATGTTGGGATTGATTCTTAATTTTTTCCTTCTTCTCCCATATGGAAAAATTCTAGGGGAAGTTCAGACTAATGTAGAACTAAGAAAATTTTGTATAGATTTAGATGTAATGATTAGATTTTTACATTCAGAATATTGAGGGTAAGAAAGGAGCAACCTGAACTGCTTCATTGCCATCAAAAAGCCTGTAAGAATTAGGTGGTATAGATTCTGCTTATGTAGGGGAATCCTATAGTATCCTAAGTAATGAAGAGAGTAATAAATTCCCTCTTTTTTTCATTTTGGCTAGGCAGTGGGGTTAAGTGACTTGCCCAGGGTCACACAGGTAGTAAGTGTTATGTGTCTGAGGCTGGATTTAAACTCAGGTCCTCCTGAATCCAGGGCCGGTGCTCTATCCACTGTGCCACCTCGCTGCCCCAATAATTTCCCTCTTACTAGAGAGAAAAGCTGTCAAGAAAACATGGATGATCATTGAGATACTCCAGAAGGGGTTCTTGTTTTGGTTCAGGGTTGGACTTGATGGCCCTGGGGATCTGTGAACTATGGGGGAGGAAGATGAGCCTTTTTTGGCCTCCTTTTCCATCTCTCTTTTTCCTCTCTGGGAGAATTAGGTAATGGAGGAGACTTTCCAAGCTAGCTTCTCCAGCTCAGTTAAAGAGATTAGACTGGATTTAGGTGTTATGAATGATGAGTCAGATATATTGTCCTGAAGGGTGTCTACATTTTTAGAGCAAATTATCACCCAGATGGAATCTCCAGTCGGTCAGATACAGGGGAAGGTATCTGGGAAGCGAATGGTCTTTTGGTTCTTCTTACTTGTTCTCATTACCTTTGCTGTGGTGGCTATGGATTCCTTTAGAGCTCAGAAACAGTAAGTCATTGCTCTATCCATGCTGCCAAAGTAATTTGCCTTGGGTACAAGTTGGACCATGCTGCTACCAGGCTCAAACATCTTCACTTTCTCCTCTGAGATAAAATAAAAATTTGTTGAGCCTAGTCTTTAAAACCCTCCACAGTTTGGCTGCAGCCTACCTCTGTAAATTTGATGGATGTTATTGCCCTTTGTGTAATGTATAGGCCAGCCAAAATGGCCTACTGGCTACGTCCTATACTCATATCCATCTCTCCTCTCTGCTTTTGCACAGGCTGTCTGTCATTCCTGGAACGCGCCCTTTACTTATCTGGGCACATAGTTTATCTCCTGTCACTTCCCTTCCCCCAGCTCCCCCATACTCCTCCCCCACCCTTACCCCTACCTTCCCTCCAGGTATCCACAGTTCCTAGCTCAGTACCTGTCACATTGTAGGTGCTTAATTATTGCTTATTGAGTTATGTTGTTCGTTAATGCCATTGTCCCCAGGTTCTATTTCTGTTCTTTTACTTAAGGTTTTATGGTTGGCAAAGAATATGAAGTTGGTGGAATAGCAAAAGATGGAGCCAAGATGGTGACTGCTGTGGCCTGTGCCAATGTACCTAAAATTACTGTCATCATTGGGGGATCTTATGGAGCTGGAAATTTTGCAATGTGTGGCAGAGCGTATTCGTAAGTGGGCAGATAGAGAAACAGACTGCTTCTTCCCATTTGCCTGTAGTGTGCCCTTTTATTCAGACCGGTTTTTAACGTGGACTTGTCCTGACATGACCTTGATCAGCCCAGCCTGCTGTCTGTATTATCATGGGATAGAGGTGAAGCGGAATATTATATGCCTCAGTTTCTTGAGGCATGTATTGTGGGCTTCATTTTTAATTAATTGCTATTTTCATGCTTCTTAAAGAATGTTTCTTTTATCTCTGTACTGAGTAATTTTTGCTGTTTTCAGACCTTTGTTCTGATAGTGATGAAATTCGAATTGTTGTAGTTTGATTTGTTAATCAGAATGTAATGTGTCTTGCCTTTTACTTGAAAGTAGAAGTATTTATTAGATTGTTGGGAAGGAAATAAAAGAGGAAGCATTTTAAGATTTCTAAGTTGGTTTCATGTACAAGTATAATTTATGGGGTTGGTAAGGAACAAAAAAAGTCAACAAGACTCATTCTATTTGATGAAAAAGAATAAATTAGCTTACCATTTTTAGGTAGAAGGGGGTCTTTTTGTTTTACATTGTTTACATTTAACTACTTTTTTCCTTTAAGTCCAAGGTTTCTCTACATGTGGCCGAATGCCCGTATCTCAGTGATGGGAGGGGAACAAGCTGCCAATGTTTTAGCCACAGTAGCAAAAGACCAGAAAGCAAGAGAAGGGAAGGAGGTAAATGTGCCTTTTATTTTTCACTTGCTTTAGGTCACATCTAGTGGTAATGTTCACTTGCCAAATTTTTAGAATTTCTAAGAAAACTTAAGAAAATTAGGGCATGAAGCACAATAGAGTGTAATTGTATCTTAGTAATTTGGACTTAATGAGATTTAAATGAATTTAATTGGTATTGTTCCATTTTGCTTTAAAATATTTTCAAGGATGTGAAGAATAGGAGGGTTCTACAGTTAATGATGAAAATAAGATTTTATTAAGCTTTAAAAGGAGACATAAGGATGGTTGGAAACAGCAATGGAAGCTTACTGACATACCAAATAAAAAGTAAAGGGTTCAAAATTCCTTCTTAATTTTATATTTCTATTAGATTCTACTAGAATTTTTTTGTAAATTTTATTACTTGTGACACTTAAAGTATTGAGTTTGAGTAATAAGATGTAACATGATTGACTGATGCATGTTTCTGGAACTTCTCAGTCATAAAATTTTTCCTCAATGTGAGTGACTGCCAGAACTGATTTAGCTTCTCTTGTAAGTTTTCTTCTCCTTCTCCCACTCCTCCCCCCCAACCTATTCCCCTTCCCTTTTTCCTCTCCACCGTGAACACATTCATCAGTCACTTTTATGATCTCTTTATCCAAGAAGCAGAAAGCCTTAAGAAGGCTTAAATCCAAGGTTCTGTGGTTTCAGATTCATTTAGATAGTGAATTCATTGTTCAATAATATTAAAGAAGAGATTTTTTGAAGAATGATCCAAGAGTTCACTTGCTAGAGGCTATTTTTTTCTAACTTCTAGTCTGTGGCAAATGTTTATCCATTCTCAAAAATTTTACTACTAAAAGGCCTTTATGTTTAAAAGCAATACAAAACAAACGGAAGAACAGAAAAACTCTTTTTAAAAAATTTTTTTATTTTGAATGTTACAAATACCAAAAAAGAACATTTCCGTATACAAAGTAGAATAGAAAGAGTTTACAGACAGCTTTTAAAAAAGCTAAAAAAAGTAAAATTGAAAAAATTTACATTTAAAAAGTAAATTCAACAACAGATGATCTCATTTTTCTTTGAACTTCCTTCTGTCTTCTTTTGTACATTTAAAAAAATGGTTCAGTGACCTTTTCTTCCTCTTTTTTTTTGGGGGGGGAGCAACACTATCATTAGTTTCTCTTTCTCCTCCTAATTACACCCCTATTAAAAAAAAAGAAACAATTGATCTTTGTAAAAAAGATCAGAGTCAAGCAAAACAAGTCCACACATTTGCTATATCAAAAAATGTTTTTCATTCTGCACCTTGATTCCATTCCTCCTCGGTCAAGAGGTAGGTAGTATGCTTCATCATCAGTAATGAATTTATTACCTGTGTGATCTTAGGCCTCAATTTCCTCATCTGTAAGAGGAGAGCATTAGACTAGATGACCTCTGTGGTCCCTTTCAGTTCTAGATTTATGTTCCTATTTAAAACATTTTCAAGGACATGACAAGTAGGAGGAGTCTGTCTTTATTAAAGGTGAATTGTATTCTAATTCAATATGGTCAAATTGAATGTTTTTTTTTCTCTCAAAATAAATATTTGACAGCGCCTCATAGGAACTTATTATATGATAGCTATCTCTCTGACAAGGACAGCTAGGTGGTGCCATAGGGTGCTGGGCCTAGAGTCAGGAAGACTCATTTTCCTGAGTTCAAAGGTGACCTCAGACACTTACTGGCTGTGTGATGCTTGTTGGTCCTAGTTTTTTCACCTATAGAAAGAGTTAGAGAAGGAAATAGCAAACCACTTCAGTATCTTTGTCAAAAAAACCTAAATGGGGTCATGAAGAGTTGGACGGGGCTGAAAACGACTGAACTGAACTTCTCTGACATTTCTACAGTCTATTGCTTTCTATTTACATGCTGTACTTCTGTAGTTTAGACCTTCGTTATCTCTTGCCTGGACTATTACAGTAGTGTAATTGGCATCTTCTCTTCTAGTACTTCCTTCTTTAATATGTCTTCCATGCAGTTCTCCCAAGCTCAGGTCTGATCATGGCACTTGCTTGTGCACACTAATCCTCAGTGGCTCCCTATTTTGTTTAGACAGTGGTGTGCTAGAGCTGTACCAGCTCATGATAGCCAATCTTTAGTTTTTCAGGGATTTAGGAGCCAGTTGTTAAATGTGGCCAGTGCTCAGTTCAGCTGGCTATGCAATGGTAATGTTATTTGTTGTTTTCAAGGAATTTATGGCACCCACAGCAGAATGTATTTTCAATACATTGTTATCTATTTTAAATAATTGTGGCTTTAATAATGAATATTTGAAAGTGAACTTAATTGTATTTTCTGCTGATGATGCTAATACAGTGGGGGAAAGAAAATCTGGAGTAGCTATGAAGTTCTTAGAAAATTTTCCTAAAAGACTTGTTTGGTACTATTTAAATCATTGGTTAAAAATATCACTTGATGTTTCAGTATCTCAAATAAAACAAGCTAATCATTTAAATTTTTTCTGAATAAAATTTATTCTGTTTGTTAAAAATCTAATGTAAAAATCAAACTGAGTTAAAAACTGTAGCTAAAGAATTTGAAATTGGAGTTATTAAAATGGGTAGACTACTGGGACCAAGATGAGTGGCATGTAGTTTATGAGCTGCTACTGCTGTGTGAAATATGTATAGTGCATTTTTATGCATTTTTCTTGTTTTGATTATTCTTGTTTTGAAAAGAGATTAGCTATTATTAATTTTTTTTTGCAAGACCTTACTTTAATGATTGACATTCTTGAAGAATTTTCATTGCTTTCAGCAGTGTTGCAATTAAGATCAACCAGCATCCAGAAATTACTCAAACATACCTTAAGAAGTTTGGGAAATTTAAAGATTCGTACTGGAGAGCATGAATCTCAATTTGAAGATTTGATTAAATCAGATAAATTTAAAGACATTCCATTTAGTAAAAATAATATATTTAAAGCTCCTTCTAGGAATATGTTATTATAAGTACAATTCAACACGTTGAGCTTGTCTTTTATTAGACAAAAATTATAAAAGCATTTAAAATTATTTTGATTTATTAGAACCACCTACTTTGACTTATGAAAGATTAACTTCACCATAAATAGTCAGTGAAAAGAAATTATATCATTTAAGTGGAATTTTTTTTTTTGGTGAGCCAGTCAGGGTTAAGTGACTTGCCCAGGGGCACACAGCTAGTAAGTGTCAAGTGTCTGAGGCTGGATTTGAACTTACATCCTCCTGACTCCAAGGATGGAGCTCTATCCACTGCGCCACCTAACTGAGCCTAAAGTGAAATTTTAAAGCAAAAAATTGAATTAGACGATTTTCAGGATTTTGTACCTGAATGTAGACTCAAACAATATTCCAGTATCTGCAGTTATACAAAAAGCTCAAAGAATAATTAGCATTGTTGCATTCAGGAGTACTGAAGAGGTTTCATTTTAATGAGCGTAATTTGTTATGAGCATGAGTAATAGTTTAATAGTGGATCACATATCAGATTTAATGACAGTAAATTTACTGAAAAAAGCAAATTATGATGTAACTGCTTTTGTCAAATTGTGGTTGATTTGCAACCGTAAGTTGGGTGTGGTATACAAGATTGTGGTGAAAATCATCAAAAGCATTCTGTGAGAATCAATTAGCCAAATGGAATTTACAATAAAGAGTATTATATATTTTACTATTATTTGTAAATTGTGTGCTACACATCCTTTACACCAGTAAAATTTCTAGTAAACTTATGTACCTCTGTGTGTGTGTGTGTGTGTGTGTGTGTGTGTGTGTACACAATTATTTTTGGAGTTGTTAAACATTTATTAGCATACCACTTCTTCTAGTATAAAATACAAATGCTTGACTTTTAAAGCCTTTTGCTGTCTGTCTCTAGTCTATCTTTCCAGACTTGTTCTATCTTATTTTCCTCCGCACATGCCATGGTCCAGTCAGAGTGGCCCCTTATTGCTCCTTCAGCCTTGGCTTCCTACTTCCTGCTCTCTTCCTTTTGTACAGATTGTCTCTCATGTCTGGAATGCACTCCTACTTTTCTTGTACTTCTGAGACTTCTTAACTTCTTTTGAGGCCCTTCCCCCATTAGTGTTTTTTGTCTTCAAATTGTATTATACTTATCTATTATTAGTTTGCTGTGCCCCCCAGTAGAACGTAAGCCCTTTGAGGGCGGGGACCGTTTTATTTTTCTGCCCTCAGCCTCTAGCACAATTCCAGGTAGCGCTTAAAGAAAGCTTTAAGGTTTGATGGATACTTTACAAATAATATCTAATTTGATCCTCATAACAGCCCTGGGAGGCAGGTGCTGTTATTATTCCCATTTTACAGTTGAAGAAAATGAGACCAATAGAAGTTAAGTGATTTACCCAGGGTCACACAGCTAGTAAACATATGAAGCCAGATTTTAACTCAGATTTTCTGACTCCAGGTTCAGCCTTTCATCCCTTGTGCCTGCTAGCTGTCTAATATATAGTAGGCACTTCAAGGGTTAATTTCTTGGGTGGAAAGTTAATGTAAACAGGCACTTGGGTGGAAAGAGGTCATTGTCATGTCTGTTTGCAATCAATTACTAAGAGTTTGTGAAAAATGTTAATTTTTAGGAAGTCATGAATCAATTATTATAAAATATAATATATAATAATATAATATAATCATTAATTATTGTAGTAATTGTAGTGTGTAAAGATGTATTCATTCCTTTGATAAACATAGTGAAATCCTTTATTAAAGTAATGAGCGAAAAGGAGAAATTTTTATCATTTTTGTTATGTAGCTTAGTAAACCTGAGTGCTTGTGGGTTTACGTGAGGTTACATTTAATTCATTTTTAAAAACTTTCTAGTGTTGTATAAATCTAAGTTTTTATTATTACTGTGAACCTCAAATAAGATAAAGTTGTCAAATTATTGAGTTTCAGATAGTTGATTTTTTTATAATTAGATGTGTGAGTTCATCAGAGTATTGAGAAATTAAATGATATGAGGGGTTAATGCACAATAACTTGTTTTACTTATAATGAGTAACCATTTTGTTCTAGAGAGTCTTTAAACAGAGACCTCCTACTCCCTAGTATAATTGATTGAATGGACCTGAGTTCCTTTTTCTTTCAGCTCTCCAGTGAAGAAGAAGCTGCTTTAAAGGAGCCTATCATTAAGAGGTTTGAAGAAGAAGGAAGTCCTTACTACTCCAGTGCAAGGTATTTGCTTATAAATGGCTACTGTGAAGGCAGCTTCATGGATCTTAGCAGTTTTGGAAATTATAACTTGGCCATGAGATCTAAAAAGTGTCTTTGGACAACTACTTCGCTCTAGTCTCCTAGCTCCTTTTTCAGACTTCCTGTAATATGTCTATATTCTTTCAGTCCAAGGATAATATGGTGGAAAGAATGCTGACTTTTTGAAGTCAGGGAACCTGCATTCTACTCCTAGCTCCACTACTTGCTACTTATATGACCTTGGCCAGGTTACTTAATGTCTCTGGGCCTGAGTTTACTTATCTGTAAAATGAGGTCACCCCTGAGTTGCTCTTCAACTCTCAATCTTTGATCTTCTTTGTAATGGGGATGAATTACTGTGGAAGTATCTCCATTAGTTTTTAAAGCCTCCTATTCCTTCCCAGATATCTCTGGGTTCCTTAGCACACATCTCCTTCCTTTGCCATAGCTGAGATAGCAGTTGGATCATAGCCGGCAATGAAGTGGGGGGGGGGGACGACGGGACTAGCCTTTAGTTACTGGGCTCTGCTAAGAATCAGGAAGTTTGAGATTGACTCTTGCTTGACTCTTGCTCTGTGGTATAAAGAAATGATGGAACAAATTATTTGAGTTTTTTTTCTCCCTAAAAATTTGAATTCTTGGTTGGGTGAAGCCAAAGGCAGGAACTTGCCTGACCTTTCCCAAATTCTCCTCCAAACAACCTAAAAATAATGCCTCAAAGTGAATTCTGGAGCAGCAGAACCCACAAAAGGATGGGGTGAAAGAATTTTCCAGCCCAAGAGAACGTAGAGGGTTGGCAGGAAAGTTCTGTCTCACCGTGCTGAAAATGGGGCACAGCCCAGTATAGGCAATGTCCTGCCAAGATAGCCCTAGGCCTTGCAGAAAACTGAATTGGCAGCAGTGGCTTCTGGAGCTCTCAGCCCACAGATGTTAAGGGGGTTGGACAACTGGTCAGAAGGAGATTAGAGAGGTCCCTTCGTTGTCACTGGTTGTAGGACTCTGTTGCGTTGCCCATACGCAGATCAGCATTGCAGTCTGGGGTCATAGTTCCAGCATGAGGAAGCATACTAGTATACTAGAGCTTGCAACTGCAGGGGAGTAGGGATCCTGGTCACAGTTCCAGAGTGAAAAAAGAGTACATGTGGTCTCTCATAGACCAGAGCACAGGCCAACAGAGTAGTAAATACACCTTTCCTTAGATCATACCACCTTGGAAGAACTGAAATCTTACAAACCCCAAGAACTAGTTCTGAAAACAACAGCAAAAAAACCCTGAAGCTTGGCTCAGTGCCTCCTCCATCCTGAGACCAAAGCCCAACTTTATTTTTTTTTAATTTTTAATAATGGTATTTTTTCCCAATTACATGTAAAGAAAATTTGCTGCATTCACTTTTATAAGATTTTGAATTCCAGACTTTTTTCTCCCTTCCTCCTTCCCCCCCTTCCCTTCTTCCCTTTTCTCCCCTCCCCTCTCCTTTTCCCAAGATGGCAAGCAGTTTGATATAGATTATATGTACAATCATATTAACATATTTCCACATTAGTCATTGTGTGAAAGAAGAATCAGAACAAAGAGAAAAACCACGAGAAAGAAAAAACAACAAAAAGGTCAAATAGTATGCATTCGGACTCAATAGTTCTTTCTCTAGATGTTGATAGTATTTTCTATCATGAATCTTTTGAAATTATCTTAGAGCATTGTATTGCTGAGAAGAGCCAAGTCTATCAAAGTTGATCATCGCACAATGTTGCTGTTACTGTGTACAGTGTTCAGGCCCAAAAAGAATTCCTGAAACAGCTCAGAAATGATTTCAAAAATCAAATAAGAGAGGTAGAGGAAATATTGGGAAAAGAAATTAGAGCGATGCAAGAAAATCATGAAAAAAGAGAGTCAACAGCTTGGTAAAGGAGCGTAAAAAATATTGAAGAAAATAAAACCTTGAAAAACAGAATAGGCTCAGTGGTAAAAGAGGCACAAAAATCCACTGAAGAGAACTCCTTACAAAGCAGATTTGGCCAAATGGAAAAAGATGTTAAAAAATTCACTGAAGAAAAGAACTCCTTAAAAAGTAGAATTGGCCAGATGTAAAAGGAGGCACAAAAGCTTGTTGAAGAAAATAATTCCTTTTTGTTTTTTTAAATTTTTTGCTAGGCAATGGGGTTAAGTGACTTGCCCAGGATCACACAGCTAGTAAGTGTTATGTGTCTGAGTCTGGATTTGAACTCAGGTCCTCCTGACTTCAGGGCTGGTGCTCTATCCACTGTGCCATCTAGCTGGCCCTGAAGAAAATAATTCCTTAAAAATTAGAATTGGGCAAGTGGAAACTAATGACTCCATGAGACATCAAGAAACAATAAATAAAATCAAAAGAATGAAGAAATAGAAGAAAATGTAAACTATCTGATTGGAAAAACAACTGGCATGGAAAATAGACCAAGAAAGAGATAATTTAATAATTACTGGACTACCTGAAAGCCTAGACATTGTCTTTCAAAAAGTTATCAAGGAAAACTGCCCTGATATCCCTAGAACCAGAGGGTAAAATAGAAATTGGAAGAATTCACCAAAAGTGATTCCAAAATGAAAACTCCCGGGATTGGAGGGCTTAGAATATGATATTCCAGAGGGCAGAGGAGTTAGGATTACAACGAAGAATCACCTACCTAGCAAAACTGAGTATAATCCTTCAGGGGAAAAAAAGGGATATTCAGTGAAATAGAAGACTTTCAAGTATTCCTGATGAAAAGACCAGAGCTGACTAGAACATCTGACTCTAATATAAAACTCAAGAGATGCATAAAAAGGTAAAATGAAAGAGAAATCATAAGGGATTCAATAAGGTTAAACTGTTTACATTCCTACATGGGAAGATGATACTTGTAACTCTTAAGAACTTATTATTAGGGCAGTTAGAAGTTGTATATAGAAGAGGTGACAAATGTGAGTTGAATGTGGTGGGATGACATCTAAAAAAAATTAAGGGATGAGAAAGAGGAATGCACTAGGAGAAAGGGGAAGGGGGAGGTAGAATGGGGTAAATTATCTCACATAAAAGGGGCATGAAAGAGCTTTTACAGTGGAGAGGGAGGTGAGGGGGGCCCTTGAACCTTAACCTTCTTGGAGTTGGCTGAAAGAGGGAATAACATAGATACTCATTTAGGTATAGAAATCTTTCTTATCCTTCAGGAAAATAAGAGATGAAGGGGATGGGGCTAATAAAAGGGAGGGTGGATTGGGGGAGGTGGTGTCAGAAGAGAAACACTTGAAGATGGACAGAGTGAAAGGAGAGAGAGTAGAATAAATGGGGAAAATGGGATGGAGGTAAATACACAATAATCATAGCTGTGAAAAAATGTTTACCAAAAATTTCTCTGATAAAGGCCTCATTTCTCAGATACATAGAGAACTGAGTCAAATTTTAAGAATACAAGTCATTTCCCAGATGATAAATGGTCAAAGAATATGAACAGGCACTTTTCAGATGGAATAATCGAAGCTATAAGCTGTGAAAAAATGCTCTAAATCACTACTGATTAGAGAAATGCAAATAAAAACAACTCTGAGGTACCACCCCACACCTGTCAGATTCATTAATATGAGAGAAAAGGAATATGATAAATGTTGGAGAGGATGTGGGAAAATTGAGACACTTATGAACTGTTGGTGGAGTTGTGAACTAATTCAGCCAGTCTGGAGAACAATTTGGAACTATGCCCAAAAGGCTATAAAACTGTGCATACCTTTTGACCCAGTAATACCATCACTAGGTCTGTATCACAAAAAGTAAAAAGGAAAAGGACCTATGTGTACAAAAATGCTTATAGCAGCTTTTTTAGTGGTGGCAAAGAATTGGAAATTGAGGAGATGCCCATCAATTGGGGAATGGCTGAACAAGTTGTGGTATGTGATTGTGATGGAATACTGTTATGCTATAAGAAATGATGATCAGAATGCTCTCAGAGAAACCTGGAAAGACTTACATGAAGTGACGCAAAGTGCAGTGAGCAGAACCAGGAGAACATTGTACATAGTAACAGAAATAATTTTGTATGATGATCAACTGTGAATAACTTAGTTATTTGCAGCAAAACAGTGATCCCAGGTAACTCTGAAGAACTTAGGATGAAAAATGCTGATTGAGTCTGAATGCAGATTGAAGCATACTTTAAAAAACTTTCTTTATTTTTCTTGTTTTTTTTTCATAACATGACTAATAAGGAAATATATTTTGCATGACTGCATATGTATAACCTAAATCAAATTACTTGCCTTCTCAGGAGGGGGAAGGGGAGGGAGGGAAGGAAGAATTTGGAACTTAAAATTTTAAAAAATGTTAAAAATTCTTTTCACATGTAATTGGGAAAATAAAATATTAAATTAAATAAAAATCTTGAATTCTTTTTAACACATTCATTATTGACTTAATTTTTATTTTGTCACACTTTGCACAATAGCTTGGTTGAGTGCTTTATTGAAATTTGTTAATAAGTGTGCACATAAATTCAGGAAGTTACTGGTTGCAGTCAATGTCTGTTTGTCATTTAATTACCTCATGGAATTTCAGTAGTATTTTCTATTTGTTTCTTACATCTTTTAATGAGGCAATAAATAATCCTTGTCTCTTCCAGTCTAAAATCAAGGATCTTGTTATTTTAGGCCTCCTCTTTGCTGAATACCTGTAGGAAAGTCTGATTCCAAATATTATGAAGAATGCCCTAAGCTCACTGTCTTGTGTTTATCCCTTGGGCAGATGGAAAATGAAAATAACTTTTTGCATCTTTTAAAATGAGATTATTCTTTGAGCCAGGCATTTGTGGAGACTTAAAAGTTTTTTTTAAGGGGTAAAAAAAATAAACAATGTAGAAATTAGATGATTTGGGTAAAAAAGCTTTTTTTTTCTTGATTTATTGTCAGTAAATCACAAATGGATTGGAAATCCCTTTTAGAAAAGAATACAATACTGTCTTGAATTTAAGAAATA